TATGCCAGAAAAAAATCATTTTTAGAAAATTTCACTCATGCAACAAATATCTGGAAGAATTTATTGAGCATATCTATGTGCAGGCACTGCTTTTGGTGATGAGATTTTAGAATTTCAGAGCTCAAAGGGACCTTAGAAATTATCTGGTCCAAACTCCTTATTTCATGGATAAGGATTCTGAGGCCTAGAAATTTAAATGGAACAGGCTTTTTTGTCCCTCAAACTTAGCACATATATGTGCTATTAAGTGTTTGTTGAACGGAACTTAATGGTTTAAAGGTGGTAAAGAGAACAGTAGCTTCCCATTACTAACAGTACATTACAGTACAGTACATAGTAATTTTTAAAATTTTTGAAAAAAGATTTTTGCTGTGAACAAGTGAGGTAAGCATCAGCTGTTAGATTAGTAAGTCTTGGATTCAACTTTAATTTCTCCTTTTCCCTTAAGGCTCTCATTGCCCCCTCCCCTCTCTCCTGTCCACACGTCTGTTTACACTGTGCTCTGTCCTCCCCACTCCAATTCCTCCACATGTATCCCCCATCCATGTTTTCTTCTTAAAACCAGGCTCAAGTCATATCACTGCCTCCTTCCTCTACCTCAAGGTTATGAACTTTTTGACGTTTCAAGGCCTTAGCCTGGTTCCTCAGTCCCAAACCTGCCTTCTTTCTCCCCAGTCATACTTACCATTATTCTGTTTCCTCTGATGCTCCCTTCAAATTGTTCCTGGCCTTTCTCTAATGTTCCTGGCCTTTCTCTAAATACGCTCCCACTTCAAGCCCTTGCTAAGAAATGCCTTGTCACCTGTCACAAGCTTCTGGAATCCTATCCATTCTTAATGCCACCTGCTCCTCTACCCTGCTTTCCTCTTCATTTCCCCAGCAGTTCTCCTTTCTCGTGGCAGGAACGAAATTTGATCTATTAGATTACTTAGGTAGATGATATAATTCTTCTACTGAAAGCAACCTACCTATTTAGCAGGTACAAGAAGAAACAGTTCTGGTTACATTAAAACACCAAATTTATTGCATAATATTGAACTATATGCACACACATAGAAAATAAACATTTCATATAACTGTATATCTTTTTAATCTTGTATTATAAAGACTGAAAAACTACCAATTTAGCAATTGGAATAAATTTTAAAAACCAAAAGAAAAAGCAAAAATCTACAGTCCTTCATTGAGATTTGATGCTGACTCACGGTTCATAAATACTTCATTTTATATAAATAAGTTTTTTCTCTAGTGACTAGGAATTTAAAATTAGGCTGACATGGATTCTTTGCTCATGTAGAATTTCCTTACCCCGGATGAAGGTTGAGCATGTCATGATTTCAGAGATACATATATTTGCTTTAAACACAACCCTCTGAAATCCCATTGTAAACAAACATTTCAAATGCAATAAACAAAAGTTCCATAATGAAGAATGTCCTTAAGTCTTAGCAGTTAGGGAAAAGGGAAAAAAAAATCTGAGTAGAAACTTTGCAATTTAAATAGAAATAAAAAACCAGACTGCATGCATCCACTAGATGGAGAGGAGGGGAGCATGAAGTCAGGTCACAAAGATGGGGACGGAATGAAGAGGGCAGTGGGGAGACAAAGTAGTAGAGACATAAAGTGATAGGGAAAGGGGACAAGAAATATATTATTTCTACTTTTCTGGGAGAAAATATTCCTTAAAAAATTAATGCAACTTGCTCCAAAGCAAAATAATGGAAGGGTTGGGGGCCTGCCACATCATCTTATCGTCAAAAGGACTTGGCGGAGCAACCAAACAAAATTCAGCTCAGCTGCGAAGCTCTGCACACCTTTAAGGAGGGCCAGGAATAGGCAGAGCCATAGGGAGATGGCTTGTCCCTCGAGTTTTTTTTTAAGCAAGGCGTGTTTATCAGAGGGCTCCCATCAGTTCTCCAGAGTTCCGCCAAAGTAATGGACCCAGATTCAGCTTGTTGGACTTAAGAATTTCTGAAGTAGTCCTTTCTTTCCTTTGTCCTTAGGGTAGGGCTGCAACAAGCCAGGAGCATTTCCAAGGCTGCAGAGAAAGGAGACATTCTGCATGTGCAGGTGAGAAAGGACGGATAATCAAATCATTCTTGCAGAGGAATGAGAAGTTAGACGAAGGACAAGGAAGCATCATGAGGAAAGATCAGGGCTGAGAGAGACACTGGGGAAATGTGAGTTTAAAAATCCACTGCCATTTTATCCAGCAGAGTGCAACACAGCCACAAGTGCAAGGAATACGGGCTAATTTGGTTTAAAAACAAAAACACCGCCCCCACAAGAGCCAATTTTTCACCCCATCCCCAGCCCCTGATTTTTCAAAAAGGTTCCTGCTTACCACCCCAGAAAACCATCAACCAGGTTCAGGAGTCACAAGTCCCAACCCACTTATGCAATAGAAAAATAGAACTCACGCCCATGATTTTCTATATGGGCCTCAAGGTGGACGCTGAGGAAGGAAGGGAAATCTGGGGCAAGCTGGGGAGCCTCAGGCCAAGCTGAACCCCTCGTAGTTGTCCAGGGCCTGGGTCAGCCGTGCACTCAGGACCTCTTTGCTGCTGTACTTGGGGAGGTCAAGAAGGTTGTAGCAAGTGTGGGCCACAGGCAAGTACTCCTCCCCGCTGGCTGTGGACTGGATGATGATCTGCAGGCTGGCCATGCCGTAGATGGGAATCCGATCACTACCCGTCAGGAACACTGCGGAGAGAGGGAATGGGAATTACCAACTACACAAATGGGGGACTGGTGTTGGCGGCCTGGGAGGAACAGAAGGGAAAGGATGACACCCTGTGGCTCCTATGAGAAGTGCAACCACTTTCATGTGCCAATACAATACATGCATACTGCATTAATACTAATATAAGCTCATTCTTACAGAGCGAGAGAGATTGCCGTTCAAATCCTGGTTGTTGGTTTTATGTGGATAAAAAGTCTGTACTTTTCATTGAAGGGAACTGCTGACCTCGGGGAAAGCAGGAAGACGACCTGAGTCTCTGACTAGAGGCCTCCTCTCCCCTCAGATGTCTGTGCTTATACCCCCTGGCTGGTGAATTTCCATTTGGGATCTGTTTGCTTGCCTTTGCCTGTCTCTCCATTTTTCTTAAACCAGAAGAGCCGACGCTGACATTACATGAGACGCTTCACTCTTGTGACACACTGGGACTTGGGGGAAAAAAGAGAGACCAACCCAGCTGTCTTTTCCTGTTTTCTAGCACTAGAGAACCTTCTTTGTTCAATTGCTGGAAAAATTACTACAGTGAAATCCTTAGTTAAGGAGCACTTTCAAATAACCTGCCACTACCTGAGGCTGAAATAGATACACATTCTTATCAAAGTCTGTAGAGTTAATAAAACTTATGTAAATCTCTGAACAGAAAAATGTCTTCTTTTAAGGATAATCCCTGGACCAGGAGCAGACTCCGCCTGATGTCACTGCTTTACAAGCTCTGCTGGCAAACCTCACCCCATCACTTGACTCACATGCCACAGCTTCTCAAGAGCCTGTGTAACGGGGCAGAGGAGAAACAGGGCTCTCTTTAGGAATTCTTCTGTAAGCTCTCTGCTGCCTCTCATTCTTGCACATGAGCAGTAGAATCCAGGGATAAATCTTGCATTAATACTAACATATGCTCTTTCTTATAAAGCAAAAGAGACTGCCTCTCAAATTCTAGTTTTTTAAAAAATTTTATACAGATAAAAAATGTATACTATTCACTGGCTAGTTTATCAACGTGATTATACAATGACACAAAGATTTCTACTATTTTTTTAAAAGGATCAGTTTGTTCATGTAAACTAGACTTCATTCTCCTTTCCAAATGTATTAATTACCCTTCTCAAATGTCATCCAGCCAGTCACAAAGGACCACTTATTGTATGACTCCATTTATATGAAATGTCCAGAACAGGCGACGCCAGAGAGAAAGCAGACTGGTAAAGGGATAGGAGGTTGGGAGAAAACAGGGAAAGACTGCTAATGGGCACAGGGCTGCTGCTTAAGGTGATGAACATGTTCTAAAGTTGACAGCTGCACACTGTGGAGTATACTGAAAACCACTGAAATGTATATTTTAAATGGCTGAGTTGTATAGTATGTGCATGTGAATTAAATCTCAACAAAGCTATTATAAATCACATCTCCCCAGTTACATCTGCCATGAACACTAATATTTTCAAAAGGCTAGAGAGAGAAGGGAGGTTAATCCAAACAGTTTGATTTCATTAATGTAATACTTAAAGGAGTGACATATAAAACTAGTATTTTTAGAGCAATTAAAAAATCAGTGAAATGCTTTTTTCTTCCTTTCATGCAGTCCATTCTATTAGGCAGCAACTAAGGAATAACACCCTCTGTGCCTGATATCATAAGACAATAGTGTAAATATATTTCCTTACTTACTCTTTACCATTTAAGAGTTGAACTTTACCCATAGAGCATGCCGTCCTATACCATATGCAAAACTGAAATGTGGACATATACCATATTGACATTACTGATACTTACAGAGAAACTTCTTCTTCTTTTCCAGTGGGAACTCATGAAATGTTTCCCAAAATAGTCTCACAGTGGGATGTGCGGCTGAGTAATCACCCCTGTAGATGGCAGTCTGCCCAAAAAAGAAAAAAAATCATCTTAAGAAAAATATTACAGTGGACATATGCATTGGAGAGGAAGTAACTGCTGTGTTGGGGGAGGGTAATAGCTTAGCGGTAGAGCGCATGCTTAGCACGCATGAGGTCCTGGGTTCAATCCCCAGTACTTCCACTAAAAAAAACCCTGCAAAATCTACTTTATAGCACAGGGAACCATATTCAGTATCTTATAATAACCTACAATGGAAAAGAATCTGAAAAGGAATATACATATATACATGTATAACTGAATCATTTTGCTGTACACCTGAAACTAACATTGTAAATCAACTATACTTCAATTAAAAAAAAAAAAAGATGTAACCGCTGAGATACAGCAGACCTCCAGATCCTATTCAGTCACACAACATTTGGAAAGAGGCCAGGCTCTGGGCTTTCCCACCCAGGCCACTGCTCCTCCCTAGACCATGTCTTTCAGGCTTACCTCTTCCAGTTCCTCCCAGTTGTAGTTGCTGTTCCCCACCATCATGGCCCTCAGTTCTGAAGGCTGGAAGAGCTCAAGCACTTTGCCACCACACACCTTTAGGAAGCCGCTGGAGAAGGCTGTGTACCATTCGTGAACTGAGATTTGGAAGACATAATTCACATAAGCTTCCACAAATTCCTGCCTGCCAGGAGACCAAAGAAATAGAACACGGTTAGCCCACAGTCTTGCAGAATTTCTCAAGTTCCCCTTCTACACTGAAGTTGAGAAAGAAAAAGATCTCATCAAATTCTCACACCAAGAGGCATCCTATGGCATCTTGTAGGTTCCAGCCCCAGAATTCCACCAAGGAGTCTCAGGTGATCTGGAGGCAGAGATGCAAGAAGGAAGGGGAGGGGGCCAGACTGGCAAAGCCATACTACTGACTTTATTTCCCCTGAGGCATTCCAGTTTTCATCTTGTTTATGGTCCGACTTAATTTAGTTCAGAAGAAAATACTTTTTCTGCTTAAAAGAAAAAGTCTAAGATAATGGTTCGAGGCTACTTCCTTTTTCTTCAGAAATGAAAAAAACTAAAGCCAGCTGATATTTGTATCCTCATCTATTTGAAAAGGTATAATTTCCTAATTCCTTTCTATAAATCTCTTAATCACCTCTGGAAAGAAGTGTCTTATACAGTGGTTCCACTTCACTAATGATCAGTCAAGTGCTAATTAAGACAACAGTTTCCTGCAAGCCAGACTTCTAGCAAGCTGGCTTCCTGGGCAGGTTTCTGCAGGTTGCAGGTCAGTGTTCTCTTTTCACATGGGGTCTGGCCATTGTCTGTATGCATATTTGAGACTCACTAGTGGGAATGTGAACTGAGATATGAACACCTCGGAGAAAAAGTTGCCAATATCTAGAAAAGCTGAAAATGAAAATACCCTTGGACCCAGCCGCTCTCCTACCAGGTGGTGACCCAGAGGGACTCACATGAACGTACAAGAAAACAGTAAAGAAGAGCAGTAAAGTCACATGATGAAGAACATAAAGCCCAGCGCTTTAATGGAACTAACTAGATCTACATTTATCCAAAGGAATAGAATCTCAAGAACAATGCTGAGTAAAAACCAAGTTTTTGAATGTTAAGTACAATATGATAGCATTTATGTAAGTTGTTTTTTCACGCTTAAAACAGTGCCGTCTATAAGAGGCAGTGGCTCGGCCACTTATGGCTTATGACCCTTGGGCAAGTTATTTACTCTCTCTGTGCCTCAATCTGTTCATCTATAAAATGGGGAGAATGAGAATACATAACTTACGGGACTATTATAAAAATTAAATGTGTTAACAGATGTAAAGTTCTTAGAACCAAGGCTGCCTTGTAGGTGTTAGTGATTATTATACTGCTTATGGCTACAGGATTGGTTTATAAGTGTGAAATTATGTATATTATGTATCTATGAAATGCTTGTTTAATAAAAGCATTAATGTAAGAAGATCTCTGTCTTAATATATTATAAAAATAAAAACTTGAAAGAATATGCTAACATTCATAAGAGTTCTATCTGTGTAGGAAAGGAGGGTGAGAAGAGGGGAACAGAATTAAGGGGATGAAAGAATTTCACTGTTATCAGTAATTCTTTCATTAAAAAATCTAAAGCAAACACTATCTGTTTATTCTTGGTCATAGATACAAAGCTGTTCATAGTTTTTTGCTTTTCTGTATTTAATTTTTTTCTAAAAATTAAAAAAAATCTGACATTATGAAAATGCTTTCCACTTATGCTTCTCTAATATACTGCACTTCTACAATCTGAGTATCTTCCATTTCCTCTAAGCAGACACCGTCACCAATAACTAACCAAGGTATACCAATAACTAACTAGTGTGAGCCCTGACAGTTTTGTTCTCCTTTTTTTGCCATACAAGTCCTGACTTAAGCTTTGATTGAGGAGGCATCCACTTCAAAGACAGCCATCAGGAATAAACAGACGGCCAGCCACACGGTTAGACCACATGAAGAGCCAGGCTGAAGCTCCCTGGTTTGAGAGATCTTGGTTGACTCTGATAACTGACCATTTGGGCCACTTGTGTTTTTGTTTTTTTTTCCCTCTTCCCATGCATTAAATTGCTGCGCTTATGTTTTAAGTTTACCAATTAAGAATGAGCCCATGACATCCTAGGCCCACCCCCTCAACCCCAATAAAAGCAGAACCCCAGAAGCTCACTCTCAACTCCCTCACTCTCTCTGCTCCACCCCTAACCCCACCAACCTCACTGTGTTCCCCCAGTGTGTCATGTAATTTCCAGGTCTTGTAAATAATAAACCTTAATTTTTTTCAAAGTATCCTGATGGTTATTGCTGAAGGGCATCTTGCAATCCTAATCAGAACCACAACACTGGTTATTGATAGGTTGAAACCAGCACAAAACACTAAACAACAGGCAATGTAATAACAGTGGATAAGTGGGGTAGAGCCTCAGATCCAGGCTCTGCCACGTCCTGTATGCTAACGACTAAGCCTCTCTTTTCTAATCTTTAAAATGGGGTAAATGTTCAGGTTTTTTAAATAAAAGCTACTAATGTAAAAAGATGATTGTACATCTTAACCATAGATGCTAAAAGTTTCTCACACTGCAGATAATGTACTGCTTTACCCATGAGACAAAGCCTGTAAAACAAAGAATGTTGCCCGCCAAGCAGTTCTGTAAGTCATTAGCCACTGCAGTCACTGACCTATAGTCCACCCTGAAAGGAATTCGGGATGAAAAACAGGATGAAGCGTTCTGTGTTTGGGATATGTGGGCCCCTACATAACTATCTAGGATGCATGTATCTAAGGAGGAATTTCAATGACCTCAGATCCTTGCATCCTCCCATACACAAATAAGCACTAAAATCATTAACTTGAGATACCTATTTTTGTGTGTATGTGATTAGCAGTTATCTTTTACCAAGATATATGCTTGATTACATGCATTTCCCAGGCCAAAAAAAAAATTAATATAGATTGGCTCTTCCCCTACATCTCTGGCGCAGTTCCTCAGAGCTACCTGAGAGGCTGTCTCCCAGGCTATATAGTCCTCAGTAAGGCCCCTGAATAAACCCAAAAATCACAGCTCTCATGTGTGCTTTTTATTCCAGCTGACAGTTCTGGCAACCATGATGGGACCCAGAGCCAACTTCTCTTCTTCACATGAACCCTCCAAGGATCTGGACCTTGGTAACAGCAAGGGCCCAGATGAGTTTTAACTCAATCCTGAGTTTTATTCAGTGGCGGATAAAAAAGTTACCTGACGTCTCATTTTTAAGATACTGAGAAAGTGTTCAGTTGTAAGGTTCTGAGAAAGTGTCCAACTGCAAGAGGATGGGAAGATTTTGTTCAGCTGAAAGACACTGGGAAGCTTCAGACTACAGGATTAGGTAGGAAGCTGACCTGACATCTTGCCCCAAATCATCTAGATCAACAGAATTTGTTGAACTATAAGTGAAGATGAGACAGGAGGGAAGGGGGCAGGGCACAGCCACTCAAGGAATGACAGCAACCATAATTGTGGAAGATTCACCTCCTAGTTGGCCTTGAGGATTAAGAGGTTTGACTTCCAGTAGACCTTGAGCTTCATTACATGCTCATTGTAACAGCATGATCAAATAACATG